CGGCGGGTTTTCCAGCGGATCGTATCGATCCAGAGGATTCCATCCGAGACATCGTCACTGAAAATGATCTCTACAGGTTCGTACACGTTTCTCATTTTCTTCCTTCGATCCTTTATTCTGTGCAATTAGATCGGGTAAGATTGCTGGTCGCTATCGTGCGTGACAATTTATATTAATGCAGAGCCTAGCTTCCTGCTAGAACATTCTTTGTTTCGTTTACGTAACTTAAAATAAAAAGAAACGTTTCAGAATGATTCGATCGATAGTCGACGAGGCAACTTCTTTCCGAGGTTCCTTCCCAAGCAAATTTTTCTTTGAACACTTTCTGTACTTTGATATCGCTTTTCTCGCCGGTGCGGTGTTTGCACATTTTTTTCTTTTTTTTTTTTCGGCAGTCGATACTTCTATGCCACATGTATTGATACGTTTCGTGAACATCGATCTCTCGACTTTACCTATTGACGTAGCACGCTGTATATTTAAGTCAATGATATCACCGATTTTTATCTTTAAGCTATTGGTTTTTGTCGAAAGTCGTGAATAAACTGTCCGATATCGGACGCATGTTTTTAGCTTGCTATCTTTTCCTGAAACGAGTCGCTTCGATTCCTACTTTCCTCGACCGAAAGATAGAGGTCGTGTACGAGCGAATACTCGAACCGTATAATAAGCGCACCGATAAAAGCGATCGAAATGGAAGAAACCAAAGATTCCAATGAAATACTCGTGTACCGGCTTCTCGATAATTTACGAGCCGAGGAGCTCGTTTCGAAGCTGATATTACTAGATTTGCAAGTGCCGCGGGCGCGAGATCCGGGACTACGGGATATGTATGTTAACTATAAACGTAGACGAGCTTTACGAGATTTCCTATGCTTCGCAACGATGCCTAAAACATTAAATGCGTAACATCCGTATTCGTATTAACGCCGATGTTCGACCCCAGCAGACTATAAAATTATTGCTCTGTTTATCGGTAGACAAGAGAGAGTTTAAAACTTGAAAAAAGTGATGCAGCTGCGCGATTCAATTTCTTTTTCGATAATTAATCGCACAGATTTCTACATCGTTAGTAATTTTCCACTACCCGTAATTAATACGCTTTTGTCGAATTCTCGAAACACGGGATTACCGATTTAATTTGGTTGAATATTTTCGATTTCAATCTATGCGATTTGGAAGAATTAGTTAAGGCAAGATTAAGACGAGTTAAAACGGTTAGATGTTCTTACGACAGAAACGATTAAAGCATATCTCTTCGCGAATAATCAAAATACTTAAAAACCTTCTCGTGAATTTTGCGAACGTGCTTTTACGAAAGGCAGCGACGACGAATTTGTTCGATTTATCACGAACAGCATAAATCTTAAATCGTCGATCGGAACGCGTACACGTAAATGCGCGCGGAAGAGGAAAGATCGTTTCCGGTTCGCATCGTCGCGTCGCGTCGCGTCGCGTCACGTCGTGTTATGTCGCATGTAGTTCGATTTAGTCGATGACGTCGAATCATTGACAAACTATTCGAGCTATCTGATTCGTAGACGCGCGCACGCAGCAGACACGCAACGTGTTTAAAAACGGAAAGCGAGGAGCGTTTCATTTTTAATGAAGAAGGAGCGGCTTCCGTAGAATAGCGCGAGACGGTCTCAATGAAAACAGCTTCGAAGGAAATTACGAACGACTCCGAAGTGGAGCCAGCGGGCGTCCACTTAAAACGCGATTTAATCAATGCAATTAATCAGCTCGCCTCGGTTTCAACAACTTCAGTAATTTTGTCTGTAATTAGAGAGATAGCTGCGCTTCTTTTACCCTCGTTACTTATAAGACAAACTGCGATGATTAATCATAAGCGCGAGCACGAATTCTTTTTTTCTTTTCCGTTAGGTATTTCTTTTTTTATCGCTCGCAAAGAAATTTATTCTCCCGAAAGATGCTTGGAAACAGATACCGAATATTTCACGCGCAATGCACGTTCAATGGTAAAAATACGAATCGTGAATAGGTTAAAAATAACTTTCATTTTTGGCAACACGACGCCCCATGCTAACCTCCTATCACAGTCGTCATTTGTATATGCTACAGAATATATATTCACGCATTAAGCGATTCGCATACGTACTAAAACAGTACTGTCAGTCATTATGATTTGAAACTTTGGCATGTCTCATCGATATCTGGTCGATGATATAACCTCTTAAATAACGATACAATTTTAATAGTGATATTAACGTGTAACATCGCACAAAATTCACACGTATTTTCATTAGAGAGCTGTCAGCCATTATGATTTTAAACTTTGGCATGTCTCATCGATATTTGGTCGATGACCTAACCTCTCAAATAACGATACAATTTTAATAGCGATATGAACGTGTAATATCGCACAAAATTCACACGTATTTTCATTAGAGAGGCTTCCTCATTGAGTTGACAACATTGAAGGAAAAAGCACGAGTTCCAGTTCTACCGGTATCGTTTCGAT